TAATTTCGGGCGAGAGGACCGCGCAATTATTTTTGTATGAGCACATTATTTATAATAATCGAGCGTCAGCGATGATTTTTGCGATTTTTTTTCACCGGGGAGGCGTGATCATTCGTTTGGAGCTACTTAAGTCCCTCTGCATGTTTCGCATATGATATTTAAAACGTGTACCTATTCTGCGGATACAACTGCGTTTACATCTTCCACTGCCAGTATTTAAGTCGTATTTATTCGTCACGGACGACCGGAAACGAGAAACATTTTCGTATAGATTCTTCTTTCGTTTGAAACGTTGCTCGATCGATCGTTCTACCTTTCAACGCACCCTTAAACACGTTTGTAACACGCATTAGCAATTGGTCTGACGATCGCGAGGAAAATCGTACAGAGTACGATCGAGCCCGTTGCATTCTGGATCTTCCTCGGACACGATCCGCCATTTTAATAGTTAACCTATTTTCTTAATCTATTTACTTTGCCTTTCTCAACCTTTAGATAGGATTTATAGAAAATGTTTTTAAAATTGAATCAGGTTGTTATGTATCAATGTAGAAGGGTAATTCAGAATGCAAAGGGTTAAATCCTTTGGAAAAATATTCAACGGTACATGCACAATGTTTAACACTTTCCACCCTTTCGGTACGAGTAACTATTTGAAGGCTTCGATGAAATTGTTTAATTTTAATTGTATTCTTTTAGAGTCTAATCAATCGTACAGTTTTTCCGATTTTCATGAGTCTGATAATAATTTTAATATACTAAATTTCACTCGAGGCCAATACCTTCATTCTATTTCATTTAAATAATTTTCTCTGCGATTTGTATCGTTCACGACAGACTTAAACGAGGGTGCGAACCAAACGAATGTTTAGAACAAATGAAATATTTGTCGGGATGGCATACATATCCACTTTGGAGTGCCGTACCGCAAGTGGACGAGTTTTTCTTAACTATATCTTTAGATTACGTTAGATAATATAGCGATTCGTATATTTTACGCACGAGAAACTAATACAGTTTTTTATTTTACGTTATTCATTGTCGTATTAGCGTCCCAGACGCGGGACGATTTTGTAACGAGCGTTTTTCTCTACTTCTTCTTTTTATAGAATTCTTTACTATAAATGTTACTCTTATCATTTTGTGTATTCGTTTCCTTCTATTTTATTAAGGAGTAAATAACGTCGAGCAGACGAGGGGGAAACAAACGACGGACACGCAGCATGTAATGTAGCACGTCGATTACGATCACTTACCGTTCACTGGTTTCTTTCCTTGTACGCATCGTAGTGAAATAATAGGTGTACCATAGCGACGTATTTTACGGTTTCATAGTATTAGTAGTAACGTAAGTTGCCCACAGCGTTGCGTTCCCGAGGAATTTCGTTTATTCTCGATTTCGAATTTTCGTTTCGCAACCACGGATCATCGAGCACTGTTGTTGTTAGCACATCGCTTACCATTCCGGGAGTTAGTCGAGCTATGTCGTTGGTAAAAATTTCTCTCGTTGACTTAAAAAATCTGAAGGTAATTTGTAAGTAATTTGTGAAACGATTAAGTATTTTCTTTGAACATTTAATTCGTTCGATTTCTTCGAGTACGGATGGTAAGCAATGTATTAAGCTGAATATCTATCAATGAAACGGAAAGAAGCAGGAACAGACACGACCGAAACGTTTTCAGAACTCTGATGTTAATTTTGAAATAGAAAAACAATTGCCATATTGAATTTTCAATTTTTGCCATATTTGTTTTAATTTAGTGGTATTTTTTTATATTTTCGTGTTTTGCTGTGGAATATTTTCGATTAAGATATCCTTGTTTCACTGTTTAGAAATTTATTTGTTGATGTAAATTAATATATTATTATCTTTTGGTTCTGTTTTATCGATTCAGAATATTGTCTACTAGCACCATCTTTGGTGATGCAGCGATTTACGAGCGGTGCGGAAGATAAAACAGATTCCTGTCGTTTCAATCTATCAGTAGAAACGGTTACACAACTCAGACAGATTTCATTGACGAAAATATATGTTCACCGTTACATAACATGATAATCTTGTAAGGACGTTCGTGTAGATAGAAATTAGCCCTAAACTAAAATTTGTTTTGTCGTTAAGCTAATTGAGTACGTCCTACGAATCACTGAATTTCAATATTTAAACGATGAAGAAGCTGAAACACTTATCGAAATGTAAACTATACCACGAACTTTATTTTAAAAAGGAAATACGAAGTTTTTAACTGTATCACTATGAAATCTATACAGGATCTTGACCCAAGATCAATTATTATGTGCAATTTTAAATTCAAAATTCAATTTAAAAGTTCAAAATGACAATCAAATTTCATTTATCATAGAATTTCTCAGAACCGACATATGTTCGAACAGTAACCAATTTAAAGTTTAAAATCACTGCTTCACATTTTCGTCAACAAAATGAAATTACCAAACAAGATTTACCTTAAAACCCTGAGAGGTTTGCAAGTATTTAAAAGACAACTAAATATTATGAGCAATCTCAATGAAAACGATGATCGAGCACACCCGCTAAAGTTCTGAAAACGAATCGATCCCGTTACAACCAAGGACACAGAGATCAGGCCAAGACATCTTAGAACCTGTACGAACGCTGACGGTTACACGAAGGAAATCGCGAGGGCCGTAGTCATTAATGAATTCCGCATTCGACCAAACATGTACGCGCGAGTGATTCTCCTTGTAACGAGATTAAAGCGTCGCGCGGGGACGTTTTGTATGCGAGAAATACGGAGGAAGGACACAGCGGAAAAAAATTGTACGTGAGAAAGGAAGAAAGTGAGAAATAGAGCGAACGAGAGTGAGAGAGATAGATAGAGCGAAAGAGAAAAAAAGAGAGAAAGAGAGGGAGAGATTTTCTACGAAGTTTAACGTCTGTATCGGACAATAATGATGGTAAGAGAGAGAA